GCAGAGGGTGCGCCGGGAGGCAGCGCACCTCCTCCTGGCTCAGGGCTGGGGAGGCGGCCGCGGCGTTTGCCCAGCGAGGGGTCGCGGCCCGGCGGCTGGTGGGGACAGGAACGACGGCTCAGGGACCCTCTCGGGGACCCACAGAGATGGTGTGGCTCAGCGCAGGAGCGGGCGGACGGTGATGCTCTGGACCAACACAAGCGCGGGGCAGAGGGGGCTTTGTCTTCCAGGTTGGCTCCAAAGCCGTCCATGGGCCACCCGGGAGTCGCCTGGGAGCTCGTTAGCCATGCAGAGTCCCAGGCACAGCAGCTCGCCTGCTGATCAGAGACTGCATTTGAGTCGGTCCCGAGGTGACTCCTTTTTATTTTTTTTGAGTTGGAGCCTCACGCTGTCGCCCAGGCTGGAGGGCAGTGGCACGCTCACGGCCACCGCAGCCTCGACCTGCTGGGCTCCGGCGATCCTTCCGCCTCAGCCTTCCGAGTAGCCGGAATTACAGGAGCATGCTACCACGCCCGGCTAGTTTTTTGTGATTTACTGTAGAGATGAGGTCTCACCAACTTGTCCGGGCTGGCCTCAAACCCCTGGGCTCAAGCAATCCTCTCGCCTCGGCCTCCCAAAGTGTTGGGATACCAGGTGTGAGCCCCTGGGCCTGGCCAGCAACCTCTGTTTTATAGAAGAGGAAATTGAGATCTGCAAAGTTAGATGACTTGCCTGCAAGTCAGAGAGTTGCCAAGGCAGCCTCTGAGTACAGGCCTGTTCGCACGGCCACCATAACTGGGGGTTCTCTACTGGGGTGGGGGTGGGTTTGTGAACGGAAACCCTCATTCAATTTCTGCCGGTCACACGCACCTACACACACAGCCTTTCCTCTCCATACACCATGCTGGAGACAGAAGGCACAGACCAGTAATTTTTTTTTTGAGTCGGCTTCTCGCTCTGTTGCCCAGGCTGGAGTGCAGGGGCGTACTCACGGCCACCACAGCCTTCACTTACTGAGCTCAGGCGATGCTTCTACCTCAGCCTTCCAAGTAGCTGGAACCACAGGCGCATGCCACCATGCCCAGCTAATTTGTTGATTTATTCTAGAGACGAGGTCTCACTATGTTGCCCAGGCTGGTTTCGAATCCGTGGGCTCAGGCAATCCTCTCGCATCCCCCTCCCAAAGTGCTGGGATGACAGGCATGCACCACCACGCCCAGCTAGACCATTACTTCAAGAGGGAACAAGCCAGCCTTGGGAATACAGACAGGAAGGTGGTAGAGAAAGCACCCAGAGACTTCCCCTAAGCTGTGGACACGAGTGTGTGTTTGATCTTGAACGATGTCATCTACAGCAGCTAATGAAATCCTCAGGGGACCCTGCACCTCCAAGACCTCAGCTACAGGTAAGCGAGGTGTCAGCCTAACGAGCCGAACCAGACTTTTCTAAGCCACGGACGGTCCCGTGCATCCTGACACAGACGCCTGGGGAGATTTCTCTGGGCTGGCTAGAACCTCTCACGGGCCCAAAGCGGCTTCAAACAGAGTCGCAGGCCTGCCGCAGGCACAGGAAACACCATGCTCAGCCAAGCTGACTGCCCTGAATCTCCGTGCACAACTGGAGGTCTGTATTTGTCTTTGCCAACTTTCAAATCGATTTCTTGCCTGTCATTTGTAGGGGACTCTACGTATGCTGGGGTCCCTGCAGGGCACGAATGAGTCAATAGCAGCTCAGTCGGTGCTTCCAGCATCCTAGTGAGAGGACCGTAATAGAGTATACCATAGCCTTAGATTAGGGGCATGCTATAACCCAATAAATATGTAATCGGCTTGTGAACAATAGCACAGCCAATTTTAGTTTTCTGTCTTAAAACATATAACTGTTTAAAGTTCCAGTTACGGGAAAAACTGCAAAGCTCCAGTTATTCTTCCCTTGTCTCACTTTCCCCTTAGCAACAACCAGTCAGGTGCCAGGGAGAAATCACCTAAGTTTCCAGATGTCTCTGCAACTTCCCTAGCTAGTGGGCCAAGGTCAGCCCGAGTCAGGCTAGCCAATCCTCCAAGATTAAGCTGACCACCAGAGGAACTACCCAACTGAATGGTAACACAACTGGAAAGCCCCCCAAACTCCTCCTCCCTTTGTGTCAAAGCATAAAAGGCATCTGCTTAAGGAAGTCAGGGCCTCTGAATGTACTCCGCTGTGTCGGTTGTCGACAGAGGCCCAGGCTCGAGCTTGCAAATAAAGACCCTCTTGAACTTTCATCGGAATTGGCTCTTGGTGGTCTCTCGGATTGAACTTTCAGCCACTACACTAGTTCTTCTGGTCAAGTTTAAAGCTGGTGCTCATTTTGAAGGGCTGGGTGCATTCTCTTGCACACCTGTTGAATTCACATTAGAATCTTTTAGGGACAACTCATTGTCACTCTCGGTCTTTGTAAGCTCCTCCCAGCAGAACGTAAGGG